TGTCTTAATTAGAACTTTCTGAGTTATTCCAACTCATTGGCTCATACTCTGCGTGTCACCAAGACTGAGACTTAAAATGTCAGGATCAAGTGATTGAGTTATTTTTCTCCTCTGTACTGGGATGCAGCAAACGCTGATGCAGATGATGGTTACTGCACCCTTCTCATTCTGAAAAGATTTTCCTGCAAAAAGCTTTGTTTTTTTCTCCACTGCGGTCCTTGCTAGGATCAGAAAAGGATCAAAGCAAACTTCTATTCCTTGTAAGTGAACAGCTTTCTAATACTTGTCACCTCTGCAGCAGTTGCACATAGACTTATCTGTCACTGTTATGTTGTGCATAACACCATACACACTCCTTTCCTATAAACAGAAAGCTGTTCTTGCCCTGGTTTTTCTGGTCGTGCACTTTATGTAATATTGACATCCGAGCAAAGCAGGGGAGTCCCTGACTACCCCCGCAGAGCAAGCTGTGCGTGGAAGAAGCGTGGCAGCTGAAAACCTCATTCTTGCCCAAGGTACCAGGCTGGGAGGATCAGGTCATCCTTGTGGTGATGGGGTAAACGATGCACAAACTTCTGTGCTTCAGGGAGAAGCTCAAACCGCTGCTGCTGTGAGAAGCAGCAGCAATGCCATACAGAGCTGAGTGCTGTCTATCTCTTGTAGGCTTGAGCTCAGGAGGTGTCTGTGCTGCAAGCATGATTTTTATGAGCATATTGCTGTTTTTTAGAGGGACACAGGAGTTGCTGCACCTCGGCCTCTTGTAAGTGCTAGGGAGGCAAGGATCAAAAGAGTCCTAGCTCCCATTTTAATGGGTCACAGGCAGTCACAAGCAAGTGGCAGTGAGGGATGAGAAGCTGGCATGACCAAGTGTTTCAGGTTCATCTTCCATTAGGACTGTCTAGCTGTGCAGGGGAAGATGGGTGACCCCACATGTGGGTGGCAGTGGGCTGGTAGAGCGCCTTTAAACCTGGGAGGACAGGGGCCATGCTGGCTGCTCCGAGAGCAGGATGAGTCTCCAGCAGTCTTTACATGACCTGTATCTGTGCGGTTTGATGGACTCTTCTATAATTAACCACTGTCAGGAACACTTCTTAAAATGCCGGCTGGCATTTCAAATAGGAACATCAGATTAAGGAGAAGAGCGGTAATGAGGTGCAAGGAGAAAATCCTTCCCTGGGGAACAAATCAAACCTGATATCATCATGGAAGGTAATGAGAAATGCACTGCCAAACTGAGGAGGTTCACTGCAGCTGCCTAGAGGAAGCGAAACCGTCTATTCCTATTTAAAACACCAGAGAGGGGATGCTGATGTTTTGGTCTGCTGGTTAAATCAGGGGACGTGCAGTTTCCACATCTGCATCTTGCATTTCCTGAGTCCCTGGGCAAGTCATTTCACTTCTGTGTAGCCTAAGGCATGTCTATGTAGACATACGTAGTTCAGTACAGAGTGCGCCTGTACATAGCAAGTTCTGAAGCTGTTAAAGTGTGTAAGAAGCATTGATATTCTCTACATAGAAGCTGAAGCAATAAATTGTTGCTTGAGATAGTGTTTTTAGCCTTTAGCAATTTGCAGACCACAAGCAAGTATTCCAAGAGAAGCACAGATTACCTCCTGACTGTGGGTGTGCTTTCCTGGGCTCCTGTAGTCACAGGAGCCTCAGGGGTACAAGAACCACTAGCTAACAACTACAGAGATGTGGGGGACAGCAGACATTACAAGGAGAGGGATAGAAGTAGTAAATGTGAGACCTCCCTCAGCATGTTTTACGGGACAGTAAAAACGGTGTTTGGTGCCCAAGTACCTGCTCTGTCCTCTGAGGCACAAGGATGCCATTTCACACAGCGATCTGTGGGAGCACAGGGAGCAGGATGTGAGAACAGAGCAAGCTTGCAGGGCGTCCCGAGTGGCAACCAGTGGTCCTGCAGGGCTGGAAGGGCCTGGGAGCATGAGGGCCCTGTGCCAAAATGGATGAGATGTTATTACCCTCACCTGCCATCCTGTTGATATACTCTCATTGCTGGTCGTAATTTTATGTGTCTGCAATCTCGGTCTCATCTGCGTGTGCAATCTTGGTCTCATCTGTGTGTCTGTCACCTCTCATCCTGTGACAGCTCTTCCCCCGCTCTGCCGCAGGCACCACAGAGGTTTTGTTGCTCCCTAAGTTATGTGGCAAGAAAGAGTTCTCTCCATGCAGCTCTCTATCATTCATTCTGATCCCAACCCTAACCATTTGATGATTCTTTGATCCTGGGGTAGGATTTGGGCTAATGATGCTTGAACTGCCCTTAGGCTCCTTGCAAAGTAGCTGTGTCATTTTTCTACTGAAAGTCTTTCTTGGCATTTTGCTTAAATCTTGTGTGGTGTGAGTTGCATGGGTATCAGACAGTGTTGTGAGTCAGAGCAAAGGCAGTCACTACTGCAGTGCTCCAGTACAAGAAAAATAAAAGGGTAACTATTACAGCATTTGGAGCATAATTTTTCATACTGAGATTTGTACAAGCTTGCTTGAGTTGCTCAGCATAAACCCCCCATGATTATAGAGGAGCTGACTCATTAAAATACAGTCTGTTTCTCCAGAGAACCCAGAAGAAAAGACAGTGCTTTAATACATCTAAATTCACTCAAGTGTGCCTGTGCTATCAGTTAAACTATGTAGAAAATATCTTTCTTCCCTCCACAGTTCCTGCTAATTCCATCTTTTCTTAGTGCTTCTCCTGACTTGTCTTCTTCCTCTCTGTAATGCAAAATGTAGAGAGAAATGACACCTCTGGGCTCTAGCTTTGCCCCTTGTGTACATTCTCACCTGCCAGCAGTAGTGACTGCAAATGTTTCCTGCTTTTTGCCATGAGTCTTATGGAGTGAAAACAGCTCAAAAAAGGTGTAAGGCAGAACATGTTTCCTTCTGTGCATTGTTAATGTTTGGTACATACTGGTTTCTGGGCCACCTGACTACCTGCACAAAACTGATGTGTGGCAGATTATGGAGAGGATAAATAGTGAGCACAGGAGTAACTTGGGGAGGATTTAACCTGCTAATTAATGCTAATGACCTGCTAATATGATCTAGGTCCTAGTTTCTAGGTCCTAGCCCATAGGCCTGGCAGTTGTCAGATACATATTTTTACTTGCAAACTGAGATGTGACATGGTGCATCCAACATGATATACATAGTGATTACCATAAAAATGGCATCTATTGCGAGATCAAACCATACATCTGTCCTTATGTGTCTGTTCCTCTTTGTCATTTGCCGTTTCTCTATCCTATGAGTCAAAACTGTGGTAAAACACTAAGACTCCCCTTTATTTCAACCAGTAATACTCTGTGGTCTGCCCTTTGGCTAATTCCCTCCTCTTACTCCCCTGACCTCTTTAAAAAAGCCATGCTCCTTAGCTGTATGATGCCAGATTTGCAAGGCTGATCTTCTCTAAACATTTCACACTGTGTTGCCTTGGATATTCTATATCAGTGTTCTGTTTAAGTTAACAGGTCATGATGAGTGTTCGCATCAGTGGCTCTTAGAATCCAAAACGGCAGGAGAGAGTAGGTTTGGACATAGGAAAAGTGAAGAAGTACCTGACACATCTTAGCCCTGGTGAAGGAGCAGAAGCTAGTTACAAAAAGCTGCTCAAGGCTAAGTACTGTTCCTATGAGAAGGAAGAAGCAGTGGACTGAGACACAGCATTTGCTTTCTTTCCAGACTCATGTCAGCTGTGTTTTAGTTCTGCGCTGGCTTTCCACTGCCGTTCCTGCCCTTCTCTCCTATCTGCTACAGCAGCAAGTAAAGAAAGACTTTCTTTACATTGTGAAACTAGTAAGTGGGATGTTCTTGGGTTCAGTGATCAGCACCAGGCCAGCCAAGCTCATTTGTCTAGAGGATGTCCTTGTAAGATTTCTCACACTAAATGAACAAGCCTTGCATAAGGAATGGCAATCTGCAGGCTGGCTGCCTCCATGCCTAGTGGTTGCAGACAGTTTCTTTTGCCTACCTGGAAGTGATGTGAATCAAATCCTGAAACAACTGGGCAGCTGGGTGCAAATCATAGCTAGCTGGCTGCCTGGCATGATGCTGATCCACATCCGTTCACAGAGTATAACAAAGCAAGAAAAAAGGGCTTAGTTAATCTTACCTTTTTATGTGGAGCTGGTTGGTGGGGACGTTTGGTTTTGCCAGCAGGTCTTGTCTTTTCTGTCCGGATGATTACCAGTGTATGCATCTTGTTTCAGTTTTTTACCTGATTTTGAGTTCCAGTCAAGTGCAATCTCAGAAGGGTCCTGAGGAGCCCATATGTCCCTGCCGAAGGAGGGATAACCAGGGCAGGCAAGCAGAATGCCTGTGTGTGCTGCTGGAGCAACAGCAAAAATTGCTGGAGGCTCAGGAAGAAAGTCCTTTGGGAGAAGAGGAGCCTGACACCACAGAGAGACAATTCTTCAAATCTTGATCTTGGCACAAGAGGGCCAATATCCACTATCAGAGTATATTGCATTCACGGCTCTTTGGTTTTGGGAGGTTGAGTGAAGGTTCATGACATCTTACAGTTGGGTCAAGAAGATCCCCTCTCTTATGTGTGTTCTTTTCATTCTTTTTCCTTCCCTATTTCTGTGTCTGATGTTGAAGTTCATTTGATTTTCTGATTCCTCCTGCATTTAATTTCCCCGAGTTCAGTCTCTGCCTGGATTTAGAGTCATAATCATTAGTATTTGGAAATGTGAGGTTAAAATGATAAAATAGATTTGTTATAATGTAGGTTTTTTTCCCTTCAAGCTTTTCAAGGTCTAATTATTTTGTGGCTGATCTAGTATGCAATTGATAGATAAAAATGTAAATTCACAGGTTTAGTATTCAGATTTAGTATTTAGTATTTTTCATCTGATCAAAGAGAGATTTTGCAAAACACAAAGCTTGCATTTTTGCAAACATCTGAAGTTGTGTGGATGTAGTCAAGCCATTGGGAAACCCACAGTGCTTCTACTAATGTTTATTTCATTTTTCTACAGGAGGCCTTGACCTTATCTTCATGCCAGGCCTTGGGTTTGACAAAAAAGGCAACAGACTGGGAAGAGGGAAAGGATATTATGACACCTACCTTGAAAGATGTATGAAACATCCCAGTGGAAAGCCTTACACGATTGCCTTGGCTTTTCGGGAGCAGATTTGTGAATCAGTGCCTGTGGCAGAAAATGATGTCCAAGTAGATGAAATCCTTTATGAACACTGTTGAATGTATCTTGATTTCAAACCACTTCTAGAGGGACCAGCCAAAGATATCAGATCCATCAGTCATGGCTTTTCAGTAGTCATGTAGATGATTCTGGGAGCAATGAACACACTACTGAACAAAAGAAAAACAAAACAACATTTAAAATGTGGTAATACTAGTGAGGATTGCGTTGATTTCCATCTAATTATGAAGTATCTGGTGTAGTTCTTATTCTAGAATTAATAGAAACAAGAATGTGTGGCTGTTTATTACAGTAAGGACCATTTCTGCTCATCATACTTTTGAGGAACAAATTACTTGATACTTACCAGTTTTATTATTCCAGTTTAAAGGTGAACTGTCTACTAATGACTGTTCTTGATCCATTCTGGAATTATACTTATTATGGTAAAAGTTCTTAGTACTTAGGTCTTATGTGCATCCATGAACAAAATAAGAAACTGACAGAAAAGTCCTATAGTAAACTGGGCAAAAAATGGTGATTGGAAGAAAGCCTTAATTGGTTTTAGTGTGGACAATAACTCTGACTGTTTACTTGGCCCCTTATTGTCTTAAAATAAAGAAGAATTAAGAAATTGTCTTAAAATAAAGAGAGTATCTGTTAATAAAAAAAGCTTCGTTTATGTCTGTCACTTTGGTATATGGTTCTTTCCTTTATCCAAATACAAGATTGCAATGTAATTTAAAATGCAGTCAGTGTATTCTCTATCTGGAGAAAAAACACCTCTTTTTTCTATAAAATAATATTCCAAATTACTCTAAGTTCTTTAATTTTGTACACAAGTTATTAATAACATCCAAAAATATTGTATGAACTATGGATACTTTGTTAAAGGACAAATAGATGCTAAGAATTGCAGAGGACACATTTTATGGATTAAGTAGGGTTTTGAGTGGGAAGTTGTGCATTCTCCAGACTATCCTGGAAACTGGGAAGAAGATAATGGGTTTTCCTCTAAAAAAACTCACTCTCAAGAGATAGTCCTCATAGTAGTAAGTCACAGTGTTTCCAGTCAGGATCAATCAAGCTGTCACATTTTGTGTTCCCTTTCCAATGCAATTTCACTTTTTCCATACGTGTTTAACTCCTCCCGCTATCAATAAGTCAGTGTGTTTACTTTCACCAAACAACTCTGTGTCATCATTAAAAAATCCATGAATTCTCCAGGAACAACTGTGGAGCAGAATGACCTGAAGACTTTCTCAACGGTAAGTGCTTTTGTGGACAAAACCATGCCTACAGTACGTATGAACCTCTTCATCTCAGGCTTTGTATGTGCAGACCTATGCCTAGGTTGATCACATTAGGCTCAGCATTATGCCATGTGGCACAGCCTGCCATGGCCATCAACAGAGCTACACTGAAGCCACTGTTTTTCACACTGGAAACCTGGATACCGAACCTGGTGAGTGTTCTAAATGCAGATATTAAGTCCAGCCCCATTCAACAAGCTACTTGCTTCCACCTCACCAAAACCAGTGGGTACTTTTAGTGGTGTCAAGGTTTAACCATGGACTTTTACCTGGGATCCTGGGGCATGTTTATATGTTTTTGGATAATGTAACACTAGGCCTGACTGCATGAATGCTGCTCCAGTTCTACTTTAGACACAAAATGAAGAGGCCATGTCAGCACAACAACATAATCAGTGGCTGATGACCTCTTGCTGCTCCCCTCCAGCTGAGGGGAAGCCATGATGTCTGGTTTTAAGCTAAATACTGTTAGGTTTTTTTAAGTGTTTTATTAGCATGCCTCGTGCCTCATAAATCAAATAGCTGCCATGAAAGCAAACTTTTTATCCAAAACCTCTGTGCCTTGTGGCTTTGCTTTTCTGAGTTATTCTTTGTATAAGAGGGTTTTTTGATTGTTGTTACTATTCTTTGGTCAGTTAGATGTGAGCTTAGTCACAACACTTTACAGCCCTTTGGATTAGCTTTTGATCTTGCTGCCTGAGCTTACCCACTAGCTTCACTCATACGTATTTCACTACAGATGAAACCAGATGAATAACTGTGTCCAGGATATGATGAAGAGGCTTCAGAGCCAGCATTAACTGCTGTGCAAAACCAAAGTGCTTAGGGAGAGACAAGGTCAATGTTTCATTGTGTGAGAGTTCAAAATAAGAGGAAAAAGTAAAAAGCAAGAGTTTGGATACATAATACAGGCCCCCGTCCAGCACAACCACATTCAGGCACCAAACTTTGTCCTTGTGGGCTCACTGAAGTTGCTGGAACTAATTGGTGTAGGAAAAGCAAGCAAGCTTTGCAGGCTTCAGGACTTGAGGCAATGAGTGTCCTCAAGCTTCCTATGTCATAGACCACATTTCAATACATTGTGGAACCATTCTGTCTCGCTTTCACTCCAAACTGCCCTTTCAGCTACCTCTGCAATGGGAAAGGATGAGGAAGCTATTTAATGTACTGTATCATTGGTAACAAGAGGAGATTGCGCTTTGTTTCTTGCCAGCTTCTCCTGGATCAGGAGAAGACCATGGCAGGCTCATCGGCCAGGCTGGGGGAGCTACAGGACCCTGGATGATACAGAAAGCTCATAACATTTGGCTGATGGGGATAGTAAGACAGTATTTATGTATATTGTCTTGAGAATCACGGAGCTAAATAAATGTGACAGCTTTCACTTGACATCCCCAACCTTGCTGCTGTCGCTCAGGGTTTTTCTCTTTGCCACATAACATGAAATCACTGTCAGTTTGATAGCACATAGCAGTGGTTCTGAAGCACAAAGGTTAGGGGTTTGTAGGTACATCAGGATTATTTACGTTTGCTATGCATAAAATGGCACTTGGGAAGCAAGGCAGGCTGCCAAGAAGGAGATGCACTGGGGCTGCCTGGCTGCTTCCTTCTATCTCTCCATGCTGGGTTGTCAGGGTAGGATCTGTGACAATTGCTTCAAAACAGTATCATCTCTCCTCAGATGGACGTGCCCCTGTCTGCTGCAGTGAATGCCATTAGTGCTGTTCTCATGACAAAGCGTCTATCAATCTCTACTTTGTTTATAAACAAATCTTCCTGCCCTGCATAAGAAATGGATAGGCTAAAGAAAAACAGCATTACCAAAGGAATAAGTTAATTATGTTCCAGGATCTCAGCAGGGAATGCTATCTCCAAGTATTCAGTAAGATCTGACCAGTTGAGTTATAATTAAAAAATGTCCCCAGGGAGGAACTTGTAAATTATTTACTATAAGGGGCTTTTCCAGGCTTTTTTAGTTTAATTGCACATTCTGAAAGAGAAAGACCTCAGAAACAAATTGACTAAGAGTTTGAAATGGCTTTGTTAAAATCATGTTCCCATCTAAGCAAGTGGAAGACTGTGAGCAAGGGTCAAATATGGGACAAAGCTTCAGAAGTTGGCATTACTCATGGTTAAAAATCATATGGAAAGCACCAAAATGTCCATGCACAGAAAATGCAGTCACTGGGTTTGTCCGCTTTGTAGTCCAGAGCTGACAGTGCCTCATAAGCTCATGGTCATTTGTTTTGTAGTGGGAGGAACTGGCTTTTGGGGGGGGGGGGAAGGGGGGGGTGTTGATAGGGTACAGATTAAGTCCTAGCAGAGGGAGATGAAAGATTAGAGGTGACGGAGAGGCAAAATAAGAGGATACTGGGGTGGTGTGTATTTTCTATTGTTCTCACGCCACCTATGGCATTTTAGCTTAGACCAGCCTGGTTAACCCTCAGTGGAAGGTGGGATGAGAGACAGGCTGTCTGTTTCCTTTTGAGTGCATGGGTGAAACCTGACGTGCTTGCCTTCCCACATGAAACATGGCTTAAGTGTTTGCTACTGAAATTACCCCCTGGATTTGGCCTTTGCTGGAGGACAGCTGGTGTGATCTCTGATTTTATGTATGTAAAGGCCTTTCAGTTGCAGTTGTCCTTGCTGTTCTTTCTGAAAGAAGCCACATCTGCTGTGGCATCCCTACCAAAGAGCCAACTGACTGAGCAGAGCAGCCAGCCATGCATATGTGGTTGTCAGCCCAAATAGATGCATACAGCATTGCTCTTTTCCTTGTCTCTCCTTTTTCTTTTAAACCTTGTATGTCTTGCTTAGATGGAAACAGTCCCAGAGTTAACAGTACCCCCTGCATATGTACATTCTTCAACACACTTTGCTTGATTATAGCCTGCGGGTACCATTATCGCATCCTAAACAGTAAGTTCTCCACCTTCAGGCAAACTAGCTGAAAATCTGCAGATGAAAGCTGCTTTAGTCATTCATCAGGCAGATGAGATCTCTGCTTTTATTTTGTTGTAGTGTAAATCTGCCGCTTGGTTTTCTAGTCTCTGAAAACTACTGAATCATAAAAATGCTTGTAGCAAACGCCAGCTTGTCTGTCACTAGAATAATACATTAAATGGCTTATCAACTCCAAGAGAAGACTACAATACTTCTGAGATTATTTGGATATAATAGTTAGGGAACAAAATATGTTGACAGCTTTAGAACTGTCTTGATCAGTAGATTTTATTTGCTGTTCTATCACAGTGCATCCAGCGGTACTTGGGGAAGAAAGAGAAAATATCCCTAAATTTCTGCAAACGTAGCTTATTCATGGGGAAAACCACAGAAGAGTGGAGTAGAACATAAACATAAAATAAAGGATTGTTCTCAGAAGGGCAGAACTATAAGGTTTGAATATTCTCAGCAGATGTATTGCCATTTAATTATTAGGAGTGGTGGGTCCATATTAACCTTTATGGAAAAGTACTGTAGACTATAATAAAGCTGGATACTTTTCTATAGCCTTTTGTTATCACCATGTCAAATTCAACAACAAATTACTAATAAAGAAATTCTGTTAAGAATGGCTGAAAAAAAGATACTGGGAAGGATCATTTGCTATTAAATAGAATCATAGATGCATACAGTGATTGTTATTAGACCATATTAAAACATGCATGACTTTTTCATTATGGATGCAGCTGGAAAATGCAATTGCAGTTCAGGGCCTTTGCTATTGTTGCCTTGGCCATGGGTGAGCTGCCATTGAGCTGCGTTGCAGGTTTGTGTCACCCTCCTGGGGACACCTTGCAAGAGGCAGTGGCCAGATGCAAACTGCTCTTTTACAACTGTGATAAACACTTTGCAAATGCTAAAAAAGACTTGGTTCCCTGAGACTTTGGCTTCCTAAACCGGTAGGACTTCGATAGACTTCGTCTGCTGTAGTGCTGCTACTGGGTGCTCTGCCGTCTCCCTAACATGAAACGCTCATGTATGAACACTGTGGTTATAATAAATTAAGGGTAGTGGGACAAGCCTGGGAAGTTACCCATAAATCTGGTGCTAAGCACCAGCGAGCAGCAGGGGCTCTGCTGTACATCATTAATAAAGATGCTGAAGAGGTGCAGGCAGCGTGTTGCTGTGGATGTTACTCACATCACCGCCACAGCAGAGCTGAGAATTGATATACACAGGGCAATCAGTCAAAACCTCTCTGCTGTTGTAAAAATGATGCAGGTTACTGTGGGTAAAAGCTGCTGGTGGTGGCAAGGTTTTTGTTTAAAGAAAGAAAGAGAATCCCAACTCCATTTTTCAACATAAGACAAATTCCTGAAGAAATCCCCCGGTTTGTTGAAGTGCTGTGAGCGCTTTGTTTTACATAATTC